TAGGAGTAGTCTGTAGAGCCCAATTATATTGATGTTCCAGAGTTTGTATGCAGTTAAATAGTAGAAGTACAGGAAGGAGAAATAAACTCTTAGACCCTGTGTAAGCACAGAAAAATACACAGAACCACTACAGGATTTGTGTGCTGTATTTTAGCTTCCTCAGTATGCCACCAACTTGTGTGGTGGTTAGAAAAGTATACTCTCTCTTTATGGAGTCTGTCATAGAGTTGGTCATGCAAACACATGCGCAGCTGCCTTGAGTCATGAGTGTTATTAGAGCCAGGAGCAGTGTTCAAGCAAGGGCAGTGAGATGGGATAGCTACCATGCCAAAGTTAGGCAAGTGAAGGTGAGAATGGGGTTAGGTACACCCCTCCTAATGCACCGCCTCCCTGATCAACATTTGTGAGTCAGATACCCCAAGGAGATGAAAAACCTATGGAAGTCAGCTAGCCCTAAGGAAGCCACCCAACTGCAGTGTAGTGTGGGTGAAGCCCCTCTTCCTGCACCCCCACTGCCAAACAAGCCTCTGTGTCCCACAGCTGGATCTAATGGCTTTGCAGGGCAGATCCAGCCTCTGGGCCATAGGTTGCTGATCACTGTTCTATGCAGCTTAAAACCATAATATGGATCTTCATTTTAAAAATAAAAGAAATTAAAACAAAGCTTTGGATTTAGATTGTTTTCTGGGTACCAGGACTGGAACATTTGGATGCTACAGCAGAAGCATGTGTCTGTGTATGGGCAGGGGAATAGACTGCAATTTAAAAGAGAAGGTTAGGATCTGATGTCTTAAATGGTATGTGTATATATTGTATGAGCATTTAATTTTAATTCTTCCACTGTTGGGCAGGGAAGGAATGGAAAAGCATCTCTGTAGTTTGTCAGAGGCTGATTAATAAAGAAACCATATAGTAAATTTAACTGAGTAAGAAATGTATATTTCATTTTCTAAAATACTGGTCACTTCTGAAAATAGTTAAGACCTGTAACCCTATATTTTTCATTCTAATCTGCAATTCAGAATAGGAACCTAAGACTGGAAGGGTCTTCCTGGACCATTGAGTCCAGTCTCTCACATCTGAAGGCCATCATATATCCCAAGAGTCCAAAAAATTGTCTAGTTTGATCCTTCATGCACCGCAGTCGCAAAGCACCTTATGAAAACATAACCAAAATCAGTGTATTACATGCCATGGGTAAAAAGCAGAAGAGACAATGGGTTAAGTAAACAATTAATATATATCCTCAGATGATTCTAAGGAGAGGACCATGTTTGTCAAAATGGCACAATATTAGAGAAAACATTTACAACAGACTCCAGTCTAGTGATCAGTTTGACCTTGAGAAGGACTTTGTCTTCTAAGCACCAGAAGTAGCTCAAAGTTACCTCAGTCACAGCTCCTTCGGCTGTGGCCAATGTCTGGTGGTTCAGGAGGAGGAAAGGAGGGAGGGTGGGAAGACCAGAAGATACTAAAGCATTCACTGCAGGGTGGGGGAGGGTCCCCTAGAAGAAGAAGAAGTTGCATCACTTTTAAATTTGCATTTTATTTGAAGTATGAGAATTCTAGGAGTCATAATACATTATACATATGGAAAAATATACATATATTCCTAAGCAGTCTACACCAGCATGTGTTTCAGTAAGTATTTTAGTATTATTCCAAAGGGCCAAATTCTGCCCTCACCAACATGACTATGTCAGAAATATTCCTTTACTCCAGAGATAAAATAGTGTACCTAAAAATGTTATAGGCATTTTTTTTTACTCCAAGTCGATGCATATTTTGAATTTTTCTGGTGGGGTTGTGCAAAGATGGGATCAGAATTGTATTTCCCAGAATGGGTATTTTTACTGTATCTGTGAGTGTTGAGGAATATTCTTCTTTAATTTTCATTGGCTCTAGAATTGAGCTGGACTGCAGCAAAACAGAATATATTACTATAATTGAAAATGTGCAAAATCAAGTTTGTCCAACAAACTGCAACCATCTTTCAACTCTAAATGAAGAACACTCAGTGATAATCCGATGA